TGGCCCTCACATGTGGGATCCGAACCGGGGCCCTCTGGCGTCCCAAGCGAGTTCTTAACCATCGCGCCACTCGGCCGGCCCGTTGTATGATTTTTTTTTTTTACTGTACTTGGCTAAATCCATCATTCTTTCTCACTTTCAGGAGATGCTTTAGAACCTCTTGATCTCTAGATCATGTTCTTTTCACTGACAAACAACATCATACACTGGAGTAAGTGAGGGATTTGAAATCAGAAAACTAGCCTTTGAGTATTGACTGTATTTCTTACCAGCTATGTGACTTTGGGCAAAGCCATAAACTTCTGTTTCCTCATCTGCATAATGTAAAAGCTAACAAAAGACTTTTCTATACCACAAGATGGATAAGATGGTATAATATAGGCAAAAATAACTTTATGAATGATGAAGCTGGTGTGATTAAAGCCCGGGGCATATGCAGAGTGTAGAGTGTCAAGAGATAATGAAGATATTTTGATTGGGTTAGATGTTTAAGAGTTTTCTGAGTTTGAACATTATCCTAGAGTTTGGACAGTATGCTGTACAGTGGAAAATTTTAAACAAGGAATTCATATGAATAATTTGTGCTAATTTTCAAACAATAACTCTGATGGTCAAGTTACTCACTGAGAAACATAAGGGAATCCCAGAAAGCAATTATGAAGCTGTTATACAAGAGCAGGTGGGAGAGGATGAGGATTTGAACCAAGGCACAAGAGGGGACCAAGAGGGGGATGCTGATTCAAGACATCTCTTGGCAGAATAAACAAGACCTAGAGGAAGCAATTAGTAAAGAAGAAAGTTCACTTGGGTTATGTTCACATGTGATACCAAAATACTCAGACTTTTTAAATTAAATTTCATTCGTGAACTGGATATATATATATATATCTAATTATTGGGTTAGACTTTCAAATAAAGTGCTGAATATTTTGGAATTATTTTAGATTTATTATTGATTAATTTAAGGAAAATAATTCATACTTCCATTCTGATCAGAATTTGATTATTTGCCCAATTCAATTTCACTTCTTTTACAAAACTAAAATGATGCTGCTCTTTACTTATGATGAAGAAAGACGCACTGGTTATTCTGTGCTAGCAAAACATTACAAACACAAAAGGAACCAAATGTGGTATTTTTGCCAAATGTCTGACTGCTGTGAGGCTCACATACCATCACAAAATAAGGATGACAAGCCTCTTCCAAAAACCAGAGTTTAGGGGATACTGCATACTGTGCCCTTCATGGAGAGTCATCATACGTATGAACATGTTCAAGGCTAAGAAGTCGTGGAACAAAGAAACATGTTCAGTTTTGCTTAACGTATCATTTCTCATCCTTATAAGACTATGAGAAACTTCATTATTATTTCTATTTATTAATAATATCTATTTACATTCTGTAAAAATAGTTTAAGAAACAGTACTCTTTGGTGAATGCAAGTTTAGAAAAATGATCTTCAAACTTTTATATAATACATCCACAAGGACTATTGTACTTATATATTACTTATATTTTATGTACATTACACAACTAGAGTACTTAAGTATTACATACGCATATGTTGTGTGCAAACATCAAACCATTAAAATGATGTATATAATATAATATTAATTTTTTTTATTTTTATTTATTCATGGTACAAAATTCATATTAATATTAGACAAAGTAGGCTTAAAAGCAAGGAAAATTACCAGGGATAAAAAGTGACGTTACACAATAGAAAAGGTTCAATTCACAAAGGAGCCATAAGAATTCTAAATATGCATGCACCAAACAACAGAACTTCAAAATACATGAAGCAAAATCTGATAGAACTCAAAGGAGAAATGAATACATTCACAATTACAAATGGAACGTTTTTAACAGTCTTCTCTTAGTACTTGATAGAACAAGCATACAGAAATTCAGCAAGGATATAAATGAACTGGACCAAATTGACATTGATTTATAGAAAAACACCACTTAGCATCAAAATGCTTATTTTTTCAAATGCATATTGAATGTTCACTAATCTACAGGCTATATCTTGGGTAATAAAAAAACCCTAACAAATATAAAATAATTCAAATGATGCAAAGTATGTTCTCTAACAAAAATGGAACTAAACTAGAAATTAATTATAGAAAGACATCTTG